TAACTCTAGTTCTCAAGTCCCAAATCTATAATTCTATAACAACAATTATATATTCACTAGAAAATACATCAGAATAATATTTTGACAACATATTAACTCAATAAGTTATTCAGTTCAAATATTATATAATAATACACAGTAGTTGTAATTTCTAGATTCACTCAAATATAAAACTAATAGAAACTAAATACAAGACGTCATGACCAAGGCCAGGGTTGTTTTGAGAATACTATTCTCCTTTCACTCATACACTACTTATTTTACCCAACTATAAAATAATGGACTGCTCAAATTCTTCTTTTTCATCATGAAAATTAGTAAATGTCTTTTTTTCAACTATACTCTCAATGTTATATTTTTTATATTTTTCAGAATGGCTGGTGTTTTACATTCCGAAGTTTGTTGCTGCTCATTTTTATCACATTCCAAATTTGGTCATAATCATTCCCATGGTAACGGACATGATCATAGCCATGGCAACAATGATGGTCACTCCCATAGAAATTACGACACTGGAAAACGTAAACATTCCGATCACCAACAGGTGCCATTGATATCAAACAATGAGTTGAGTGTGGAGATAGAACAGAGTGAAGTCACTACGCGAAGTAAAAATATCAATGTTCGTGCTGCGTTTATACACGTGATAGGTGATATTATACAGAGTATTGGTGTCTTCATAGCAGCTTTAATTATCAAATTTACAGTAAGTTATCTCCCTTTTATTATAATTCATACAACATTGTACATAGTGGTCTTTTTTTTTTTACTTGTAGGGACTTGAGAAAAAATTTTAAAAAACTTTTGTTTGAATATTTACCTCAAGCCCCTGCGATGTTGTCACCAAGTATACCAAATATCAATTTTTGTCATAAGTATTATATTTACAGCTGTCATGTTGTGTTATCGTTAATTTTTCCCATATATTTGAATTGTGGATGCAAAAGATGTAAAATAGCTCGGAAGCTGACAAATCTGTGTCAAACAGGTCTAATTCTCAATATAAATCCCACAGTTACCACAAATCTTATCTTAAGAAAGGTTGAGGAACAGTGCCCTGGTTTCTATAGAAAGATTACTACATTCTTCTCAGTAATATCTGAGCTTATAGACTAAACGAGTTAAAGAGAAATATATTGATATTTAAGGATGGTGAAATGTACCGTCTAGCCGACCCAATCTGTACCTTCATCTTCTCCCTGTTAGTTTTAATAACCACCATTGCCGTTTTACGAGATACTTTGCGTGTTATGTTGGAAGGTAAGATATAAAACTTATCTTTATTTCTGAACATGGGCCCCCACTTTGAGTTTAGTTCTGCAGACAAGACCTCATGGATCCCGTCCAATCAAACACTAATCAAGGTATTTTGGAAACGCAAAATTAGGAATTGTGGGATTGCAAAACACAAAGAGGCTGTCATATTGCTCTACTTTAATATCCCACAATTCTCTCAGCATGGGTCTTCACTCTAGGTACAGTAATACAGACTGGACAACATGGATCCAATCCAGCACCAATCACAGTATTTTGCCTTCATCCTACCATGAAAGTGTATTCTTGTTCTAAAGACGTTATTTTTAACCAATCAAAGTGTCATGTAGAACCCTTTTTTTGATGAAATAAGGAATTATGGGATGGTAAAACTCAAAGAGGCTGTCATATTGCC